GGTGGCCAGGACACTATTCTTGTACCACTTGCCCATATTTAAGTAGTAGACATTTTTCACGAAGTTGGAAACCCCCTTGTTTGTTTGAGCCTAGAATTATTTCCAAACTGTAACTGGAGACCCGACTACTTGACCCAGACACTCTTGATCCTTCTCTCTAGTTATATCATGAACTCTGAGAGAGATGAACCTTTATAAAACAAAGAAAACACCAAGGCTATGATAAAAAGGAACTGGGAATATATATGTAACCATAATAAAGAATATACAAAGCTCCTGGGACACAAAAATGTTGATTCCAAATGTGAAGACAGTGAGAATAAGTTTGACTTTTCAGTAATATCCTATAATATACTTTCACAAGATTTATTGAAAGATAATTCACATCTTTACAGACAATGCTGGTGGCCAGATTTACTCTGGAGTTTAAGGTTTCTCAATATTCTGAAAGAAATTGAACACTTTGATGAGGATGTACTTTGTCTATAAGAAGTTCAAGAAAATTATTATGGACCAGAAATTAGGCCAAGTTTGGAACCACTGGGCTATCACTGTGAATATAAGATGTGGACAGGAAGGAATCCCATTGCTGTGCCATTTGCTTCAAACATTACGAATTTTCACTTTTATCAGTGAACCTAGTGAAATTCCACTACTCTGCTATTCCTCTCTTGAACAAAGATAATATTGGGTTAGTTTTACTCTTGCATCCCAAAATTCCCTGTGCTGCCTCTCCTGCAATCTGTGTAGCTAATACACATCTGTTGAGGTGATATTAAGCTGACCTAATTGGCAATGCTACTGGCAGAGATTCCCAGTGTCACTCATCAAAAAGATGGTAGTTTCTGTCCTATCGTTACGTGTGGTGACTTTAATTCTGTTCCAGGTTCTCCACTTCATAGTTTCATAAATGAAGGAAAGCTGAATTATGCAGGATTTGCTATAGAAAAGGTATCTGGCCAAGAACGGTCTTCAAAAGGACAAAGAATTTTACCTATTCCAACTTGGCCCCCAAACCTAGATATCCCAAAGGACTGTGTGTATGAGATACAGCAAGTATCAAAAATAGAAAAGAAAGGGGCCAGGGATTTAGCTCAGTGGTTCTGTCGCCTGCCTCACAAGTGCAAGGACCCAAGTTCAATCCCTGGTACCAAAAAAAAAAAGAAAAGAAAAGAAAGATGGTGACTTGACATAAACACAGCTGGATAAAAAAGGTCCTAGCAACAACTGAAAAGTGATCTTCAAATTTACAGCACTATTTCAGCTTGTTATCTGTTTATTCATATTACTTTCCTGACCCTGGAATTCTAAAAGTGACCGCTTGTCATTTCCAGGGTGCCTTAACCGTGGATTAGATTTTCTACTCTGCAGAAAAGGAAAATGTTGCTGGGCACCCAGAAGCTGAAGTTGCTTTGATTGGTGGCTTGAAACTTCTAGCTAGAGTGTCACTTCTTACAGAACAAGATTTATAGACTGTTAATGGACTTCCAAATGAAAATTCCTCTTCAGATCATCTGCCTTTATTGGCTATGACTTGAGCTCTAACTCTTCTTTGACTATATATGTAATTTTCTTTCCAATTTACATTTTTTTTCCACAGAGGTAAAGTGGTTGAGTGCTTGCATGTTGTTTATTTTTGTGCTGTGGATATCAGAAAAAACAAGTTTTATAATAATTTTCTTTTTTAATAATGAAAAATATTTTCCTGACAATTAAGATCTAAATACTCTTTGTTGTAAAAGAGGTCTAAATATTGTTTACTCTAATTCTAGTAAAATTGACAGTGGTTTTAAATGTAGTGTATCTAGTAAAAATTATAATAAGCAAATACTTTTTTTTTGGTACCAGGGATTGAACTCAGGAGCTTGCACTTGTGAGGTAGGCAGTGGAACCACTGAGCTAAATCCCCAGCCCAGCAAATACTTTTAAATCCTTAATTTCTCACTTTTTTGGTTTTTACTTATAGTACTAACTACATATAGTTCCTAGATTTTCCACAGTTTTTAGTAGTAGTTTGCAGAATTTTATATGTCCTGGCTAGCAGATATAGTCATCATCAATTTGTAATGATAATATAATATCCCTTTTTAATAGTGGGGAAAGAAAAATGAAAATTAATTCATTGATTGTCTCTTTGTATTGAGTGAATTTATTAGCAAGTAACTATTATGTGTAAGTCATTGTTAGCAAACTAACATCCCTGAAAACCTCTGTAAAAATCTAATTTTTATACCTAATGAATATATTGTGAATTTAGGCCCATTTTCTGTGCTTCACTTTGGTAAGAATTCATAAAATTGCTTTCTGCTTTAGCTTATCAAGTGAAGTGTTATTTTGTGGACCAGAACCCAACAGGCTAGTGTAACCCTCTCCCAAGTTTCTAATGCTCCACTAAAAGTAATTATTTAAATTATCTATTTACTTTTACTTTTTTTGACCAGCAGAGTTGGTAACTGCTGGAGTTTTGTATTTACCTGTGAAAAACAAATCTGGTTAATTGCAGAAACCGTATCTCTTATGATCTTATATGTTTTACTATCCAAGCTTTAGATGGAGAGAAATGGTAATGACATATTGGTTTTACTATACCTTTGGACACCAAGATAATATGCATGTTTGAAACCTTTTCTTTCTTTAACTTAGCTACTACCTGATTTTAACTCTTTGCTTTACTAGAAAAACAAAGAGAGGTAGAGAGTTCAAGGGGTTGGGGAAACAGGAGCATCAAGTCATTTGCACTTTGTACTGGTAAATTATATAATAAATTATTGTACTAAAAAATTATTTCCTCTGTGGCTGGGGATTTAGCTCAGTGGTTCTGGTGCCTGCCTTGCCAAGTGCAAGGTCCCGAGTTCGATCTTCAGTACCCCCAAAAAAATTATTTCCTCTGAAGATACTGCCATATTAACACTCAGGAATAAATTTATATGGCTCACCAATGCTATCAAATCAGTTTCCTGAAACATTAAGTCAATTAATCAGGCCATCAGCAGAATTAACTTGCCTGATTCCCTTGTGACCCTGCTCACATTGGATCATTATCATTTTATGTCTGCTACCTTTATTAGTATAAATGGCAACTCAAAGCAGCTATAATTTGCATTGAATTTTATATAGGCTGAAGCTCCAGCTAACCTTTTATTCACATTTAACTGTCTATTCAGTGTGTCTACTTGAATGTTTCACCAGCATCCCAGCCTAACAAGGGCATCAAAGCTCTTAATTTTCATCTCTGAAACCTGACCCCAGCGCACACCGGCTCCTTCCCACCCAGTGAATCTCATCCCTATAAATAGGACCACCATCCATCCCAGTGCTCAAGCCAAAAACCTAGAGTTATTCTTCTCTTCCTCTCTGATTCTAATCTTCTAGCAAGCTATTTTTTGTCAGATTAATCACTTTATTTTATTTGTTCTAATTTTTATTTTTATTAGTACATGTTTGCAGTACATAATGATTACATTAATCATGGGGAGTTGATACATGTATATAATACATATTCATTCTTTTTTCATCTCCTTCTCCTTCATTCCCTCCATCTCTTGGTCCCTTTCCCTTTTGCAAAAGATCTATCTCCCCGTTTTCTATTGTCTATCTTTTACTTTGCTCTTTAATTTACTTATATTTTGGCTCTCATATAAGATAAACTATGCAATATATGTGTCTGATTTATTTCACTTAATATTATGGTCTCAAAGTGCATTCATTCTCCTACAAATCAAGTTTATCCTTCTTTATGGGAGAGTAGTACCCTATTGTGTATAAATACCACATTTTTTAATCCATTCATCTATTGTTGGACATATGGGCCACTTCCATGATTTAGCAATTATGAATTGTGCTGCTATAAACATGGATATGCATGTATCACTGTAATATGATGACTTTAACTCTTTTGGAAAGATACCTAGAAGGGGAATAGCTGAGTCAAATGGAATTTCTAGTTTTAGGTTTTTTATTTTTGACTCTACCTTCACCAACCATTCCAAATCCATTTCCATCTGCTGCTACCTCCCAGGTCAAAGCCACCATCATCTCTTACCTGGACTACTTCTTCTATTCTTCTATCCTTGTCCCTAGAGAGTTCTACTCTATACAATAGCCATAATGATACACTTAATGGAGGCATTGCTTATTGGTAGAGCACTTGCCTAACAAGCCTGAGGCCCTGAGGCCGTGAGGCCCATCCCCAGCTCCACCAAAATTTTTCTAAATAAATAAACCTGAAGTTAGACCATATCACACCTCTGTTCAAACGCCTCCATGGCTTCCCATCATGGTTGAAGAAAATTCAAACTGCTTACCCTCAAAATATGGCCCTTGCTTTCCTCTTTCAACTCATTTCACCCCTTCTCAACTCCTGCCTTTGTTCTCTCCACCCAACCCACACTGGCCTTTTTACTGCCCCACAAATGCATCAGGTTCATCCCTCAGGGCCTTTGCACTTATGGTTCTATCTGCCTGAAGTGTTCTCCCCAAGGTTATTGACACTGGCTCCCTCTCATGGCTTCAGATTTGACTTGAATGTCAATGGGGCTCCTCAGAGAATCTTTCCCTAAACACTCTGAAATAGCACTGCTCGCACCCCTGCCACTTAGTAGCACATCACCCCATTTTATTCTCACTGTAACACAGCCTGTCAAATGCATATCATCATACTTGGCTGTTAATCTGCTTTGTCTGCCCATCTTCTCCCCTCCCAGCCTATAAATTCCAGGAGGACAGGGACTGCGTCTATGTGCTGCACCAGTATGTATATATTTTGCCGTAGCCCAGAACAGTGCTTAGAACATAGTAAAAACTTTAGGCTAAATCTTACCTAAAACCGAAACTCTGCTTAACAACTACATTTAAAAGGCATTACTTCCATATTTAAAAATACTAATACTAGCACCTAAAAACCAACAGGGAAATCATAATGCAGACTTGCATGTTCTTTTGGGCTCCTAGAGCTATTAACATTAATTAGTAAACACTGAGATGAGTTCAAGTGTACCTACCAAGCACCTGCTCTGTTAGACACTTTGGGGGCCACAGTGATGAATCACCCTCAAAAAACAATCTAGAAAGAGAAAAAAATTAAGACAATTAACTGGAATCTGAGGGAGAAAATGATGAATATCATCAGAGATACAGGATACTTTGGACCACAAATAAACAAGCATGGCCTTTACACTCTTTCACATGAAATAAATGTTAGGATTCCTGGAAATATGCTCTGTGGGTTTTAAATGTGCCAGTATTGTTCCCTTCAAGAGCATTGGGACATACACAGGAACAGTTGTAGTTGTCACAATAACTGGCATAAGGAGGGGTGCCACTACCATCTGGTAAGCAGGGGCCAGCAATGCTAAATGCCCATCAGTTCCTAGACAGACTTGTACGATGAAGATCTCCCTACCCAAATGCCAACACAGAAGTGGTTTGTACTTGTCCAATTAGAATATACGGAGTTCTTTCAGGGACTTCCAAATTAATATTATTAACATGCTATTTTTTAGGTAGTCATTTCCAAGTTGTCCCCCTCAATTCATTTTATCATTTTGAACTAGATCCTGTACTCGTAAAGTATCCAGTAGAAAGAAAGCCTGAGCCCAAGTACAGGATGAAGAATAGCAAGCCCTGACAAAATGTCCTCTGGGGCCCTAGAACACCAGGCTTTCAGTCCCAGGCCAGAAGAGGCTGAGATATGCTCACTCCCTAGCAGTCAGCTCTTCCACATTGATGGCACAGCATCTCTGTGTGTTATGGTTATTCTGATTTCACACAGACAGTTCTACTGTGAGACTGACAATTCCCTAATTACACAGTAAGGCAAGAAGCTTATCTTGAATTAACATCTTCCTGCGTGGGGGCTCATTTCCCTCAAGCAGGAGTCCAGAGCCCACAGAGCCAGGTAGGTCCTCGGAATGGGGGGCTGGGGACTGGGCAGAGGAGGCAGAGCCCTCGACCCCCAGCTAGAGAAGTCTATTCCACAGGAGAACATAGCCTAGGCCTTCTAGCACTTCAAGAGAAGCTGGAAATCCTGGTTTTTGAGATCTTCTTTTTCCAATGCCGACCCCTAATTCAATTTGCTTTTTCCAATAGTGTGCAGGCTAAAGATACCCATCTAGGGCTGAATTTGACCCAGAGCCTCTAGCTTGCTCTTTGTACACACTGGACCCAGAATTCTGTTCATCTGCATGCATATGGTCTGGTGTCAAGAAAAGTTCAGGAAATTCAAAATCAAAAGTTAAATATGCTGACAGCTGGTCAAAGTCCTCAAGAAAGGAGGAAAAAGGCACCGACTCAGGGACCCAGGTAGGTCACACCAGATGAGTGGTATCACTATCATATTCTTTGCTCAAAATTTCACAGCATCCCTTATTTTTTTCTTTTATTTTCTTTTTTCATCATAGCAATGGAATTTAGGGCCTCATGCATGCTAGGCAAACACTCTGCCACTGAGATACACTCCTGACCCAAATATCCCCTATTTCTCATTGTATCAAATCACAAGTTCTCTTTAGGGCTCCCCAGACAGAGTCCTCGCCCATGTCTCCCGCCCTGTATCTCATTACGCTCCTGTGTCCATCTCTCATTCTAGCTGGGCCAGATCTCCTTGAGTTCCTCTAAAGAAGTGGATCCCTTCAGCGGATTATTCCCTCCCTACTCTTCAACATCTTGATTACATCTCACCTTTTTTTTTTTTTTTTTTTGAAAATTTCTTTTTTTGTAGGGGGAGAAATTTTCCTTTTTTAAAACTTAAATTGTTACAAAATATATTTTAGAAAATAAATTACAAACTATAGCAAGAGGCTCCCCTTTCACAGGCAACATTCCCACCCATGGTGCTCTCTGAACCTACCTTTGCCTGGTGTTGGAATCTGGCTGGCAAGGATGGTCTTTTTTATATGAAACTTTTCTGTGACAGTAAAAAGCAAAATGCTTTTAAGCTCAAGGTCCCATGCCAAGCAAATCTCAATTTAAATTCTACCTCTGCCACTGACCAGGCAGGGGGATGTCCTTGGGTTTGTTACTTAACTTCTTTGAGCTTTAGAAGTTGATAACTGTGAGTAGCCCTTCTATCAAATGTTTGAGACCAGAGGTATTTCAGATCTTGGATTTATTTGTAATATTTGTACAATACATACAAAGACGTCTTGGGATGTGACCAAAGTCTAAATCTAAAATTAATTCATGTTTCATAGACACACCTTACCGATTAGCCTAGAAGTAATTGTATACAATATTTTTGATGCACCTGTTTTGACTGCAACCTGGCAGGTGTGGAATTTTCTATGGGTGATCTCACATCAGTGCTCCCAAAGTTTTGAATTTTGGATTGCAGAGTTCTGGATTAGGGATGCCTAATCTCTAATAGTGCTTACATTATAGGATTTTCCCCTTTCTTTTCTTTTTTTACATGATTTTTGATGCATTACATGAAATAACAGTAAAGTATTAAACCCCCATAAGAACTCAATTAATGCGAGCCCTTATTATTATTACAGCTACTCAATTTTCATTGAATTTTCTTTTCTTCTATAAGTGTTACAACTTTTATGCTGCCTCTTCTGACCAAAGCTCTGCTGGATTCCATGCACCCCATGTTTGTTCTGTGCTCCGAGCATCAGACCTGCATCAGCCCACACCAGCCCACTCCTTGGCTATGAAGCTTCTTAAAGTGCCAGGAGTATGTTGGATATGACATAGAATTCATAGTCTCAAGTGGACAATGAATCAGAGTTGCACAACTAATACCACCTCTCAGACAAGTAAACCTAAGTCTCTCTCTCTAGCAAAGGCAGGGGTACATTCTGGGAAGCTAAACATGTAGTTAGTCTCAGTGGCAGAGAGCTGCCGCAATGTTTGCAATAATCCCCCACCACACACACACACCACCATGTTGTATCCTACCTGTTTCTCACTTCCACCTTCCCTAGATCCCAAGCCTCACTTTTCCTTCTGGTGCTGGAGGGGACAGATGAAGCCAGATAAAGGCCACTCTTTCTTGAGTATGTGATGGGGAATGTGGACAAACAGCCATGCCAAAAGTGATCTTTTGCTAGGACTAAAGGAAATGCCTGTGGTCCATTACAGAAGCCAAGGGGGCCTCTGCAGACTCTGCCCCCTTAATGTTACTCCACCTCAAGCCAGCCCCATCCATCCTCTGATGTGTGTGGTAGCTGGGATCCCCTGGGCACCAGTGCCCCGGGCTTATTCCACTTCTCACTTTTCTCTGTGCTTAACAAGAACTGAAGGAAAAATACTTTGGTGGAAGTTACTCTATGCTTTGAGAGGACCCCCCCCAAAAAAGAGCATAGAAGATATGACTGTTGCAATGCTATATTCTTTAAAAAGTAAATTTTTAAAAACAGAATTTAAGAGGCCCCAACTACATTATGCCAAAGAATGGCTTTCTGAGAATGAAAATTGAGCCCTTCCAATTGTGCTGCCTAAATTTCAATAACATGAAGCTAGATCAGAGGCGAGGAGAACCTAGTGCACAATAGGCATGATCTCTGAGAACCAAAAGGCCAAAAGGGTCGTCAGTTCCCCATACTAGAAGCCAGTGTTTTCACTACAAGCCACTCTGGAGTTAGCAGCACTCAAAAGTCCTCCAGTAATGACCACAAAACCCAGGCGATCAAATGAAAAGTAGGTGCGGGTCCCAAGGACCAAAGCTATGATTCCAAGCGCAGGGATGACAGTTTCCCCTACCCCATAGGTTCCCCATCTTGCTTCTTTCCCTCACCCCTCTGCACGCTAACCCAAGCTCTGGACTGCACACTCAGAAAGCCTGTGGGTGACCCTGCTCTCTCGGTCAAATTGGAAACAAGTCTTATTCCACCAGCGCTGGAAACCTCAAGTCTTGAAAAGTCCCTGAAGACAAGGGCCAGGTCAACAGGCGGGTATGGGTGGGGGTGGGGGTGCGGACCCTGCTAATGATTAATTGGATAAATGCTGCAGGAAAGGGTGGGGGGTGGGGGTTCGAAGCCAGAGCCATTGGCTTGCTGATCGAGCAATAGAGGGCATCTTCAGCTCTTATTAGCGGGATGTCACTGCCAACCTACCCTAGGGGAATGCCTCCAGTGACCTCCGCGGGAGCAGTGGCCAGAGCCCTCGAGTAGGTGTCTAGAGCAGTGTCAGGGCCGGAGGAAGCGCTGCAAGGTCTAGGGTGAAGCTAGAGGACCCAAGGAAGAGCCTAGATGCATCTGTGGAAAACCCAACTCCTTTGAGGTAGGCGGGGAGACCCAAGTCCCCTGCGCAGCCCGTCCCCAATCCCCACAGAGGGTCCGGCGTGGCCCTGTCTGCGAAGCACTCACAGCTCCGCTAGGCCAGGGCGGCCAGCCGACCAAGATACAGCGGGTTGTGGCTGCCTTCTCTGCGAGCAGAGCGAAGGACATTTACCGGGAGCCTCAGGAGCTGTTGCGTCTCCACTCTGGGCTCCTCTGGGATAGAGAGACTGCCACCACCATCGCCACTGACGCCGCCGCCTCCCTCCAGCCGCCGCTGTAGCTCCCGCGACTCTTGCCCGTGAGGCCAGCTATTGAATGGTTCGCATCCAGCGCACGGAACGCAGAAGCGTCCTTGCCGCAACCAAGTCAGCGACGCAGGCGCCTGCCCCGGGGCCAACGCCCAGTATACCCCTCGCCCCGCTGCGGCCCGGGCGAGCTCGCCGCAGCTGCCTGCCCCCCTCCGGGCTGCGGGCTGCGGGCTATGGGATGCGGACAGCAGGCTGCGGGCTCGCCTGCCCGGCCGCTCGCTCCCTCCGTGGGCCCTTGCCAAACCAATTGCCTCCCCTCGCGGGCTCCACCCCCCTCGCTGCCATCTCTAGACTTGCCCGCAGGACCAATGGCAACAATGGACTAGTCCCGCCCCTTCGATTTCCCCAGTGCCAATCGCTTTCTCCTGAGGAACCATTCAAGAAACCCCGCCCCTCTTGTGCTGCAAAGCTAGAGCCAAAGCTTAGCCCGGTGCGCGGTTGCTCCTGACGACTCTGAAGCTTTACCCAGGCTAGCCCCTCTCTGCACCCACAAAATGACACCGATTCAGAGGCTCCAACATACCTGGCCTGCCGATCCACACACAACCTGTTTCCTTGGAGGAAATGTGTATTTAAAAAGCCAACGAGAGAGGTACTGTTGCTCACCTCACCTCTGAGGCAGGACTGCTGAGAAATGGCCACCACTCAGTCAGGTCCTCCACATAACAAGGTCAGCAGGAACATCGAAGATCATCGATTGACTTCATCCCCACACTGGTGTTGGTCGTCGTTTGTTTGTTTTTGTTTTGTTGTGGTTGTTTGTCCCATGTACAGGAGCCCTGCCCTCGTAGGACAGTTTCCTCATGGACAATTTCCAGGACCAGGTGCTCATTGGCTCTGCAGGATGCTTCCTGAGTCGCTGGCTTGAGGCTGAGTGACACCGAGCCCCTGATAACTTCTGCTCCTTTGAGGCCAAGCAAACCCACCCTTGCCCCTCCTCCCCCATGGCGGTCCAACAATTTGAAGACAGTTCTTCTGACTCATTGTTCCTTCAGGCTGTGTTGCTCTAGAGACATAAATTCAAGGCCCCCCTTGGAACTGAAGCCAATTCCTATATATCTGTTCAAAGTAGACATTGAGGACTAAGTCTGTCCTTCTCTTTATCCCCACCCCAGAGTGCAGTCCCTTCTGTACAGAGCAGACCAGGGTAGACACATCCCCTGTCTGGATGACTTTTCAGCTTGACCTCCCCTACATGGCATTTGCTTTCTTGGCAGCCATATCACAAAACTAACACTTATTAGACTTGCTCTCAGCTCATCCCCAGGTATTTCTCACCGAGGCTGCTCTGACAGGGCTGTCTTCTACTCCATTGTCTGGTGTCAAGATCTCTTTGCTGCTCATTCTGTCCTAAAAAGATGTTCACCTCTGGTTGCTATCACCAGTGCCTTTGCTCAGACCCTCTTCCTGTTTGCACCCCAACTGTCAAAGAAGCTCCCAACTGGTCACCTTGCCTGTGGGCTTTCACCCATCCTCTTGGCTACCTTCCCAACACTCCTCTCATCCGTTTCACACCAGAAGCCAAGGCAAGATCTCAAACACTAATATAATCATGACACCACGTCCTGACTTAAAAGTCCACCCCAGCTTCCAATTTTTTTTGGCTCCCTCCCCTCATCCCCATTGCTTTCAGGGTAGGATCCAAAACCCATGGCATAGCATGCAAAACCCTTGGTGATCTGATCTCCTCTAGCCAGCCTCATTTTTAGCTATTCCACCTCCATCACAGAGCACCCTTGACATCACGTAAACTGAACTTGCTATTGTTTCTCAAATAAGCGATGGTCTCAGGCGCTTCCATGCTCTTTATACAGTCTAGAACAACCTTCTCCCTACCTTCCTATACCGGACCTACAACACACCGATGTATCTTACTCATTCATTGGACAAATGCCATGCACATCTACTATGTGTCAAGTGCTGGAGACACAAAACAGGTAAGATTTAATGTCTGTTATTCCAAGGCCTGAAGAATGCGATACATTTTTGTGTTATTTTTTTCTGTAAGAAATGAACAATAATGTGAAGATTTGATCCTTCCATCAGGTCCTCCCAAATAGGATGTAATGATCCCATTTTGGTTCAAACTGCCACATAAATATCAAAGCAGCTAATTGGTGGGTTCTGAGAGGGCTGGGAATCAAGCCAGAGCTTCGTACATACCCAGTAGGTGTGTGTTTTACCACTGAGCTACTTCTCAGCTCAAGGCAGGCAATTAGAATGATTGCTTTGGACTTCAGATTCATCTAAGTAAAGAAACTGAAACTGAGATCTTCTCCCTTGCTGAATATCATTAAATAATATTTAAACTCAGGGCTGGGGATTTAGCTCAGCGGTTCCGCCGCCTGTCTCAAAAGCACAAGGTCCCGAGTTCAATCCCTGGCACCAAAAAAAAAAAAAAATAATAATAATAATACTTAAATTCATTCCATTAAGTTTGGCGATTTAAAGGCTATAGGTTATGGCTCTTTTTTTTCACATTCAGTTCAACTTAAAACAAACCCCAACTTGTTAAATTGTCCTGTGTGCGCTTGTGCTTATGTGTGTTGGATTCTTTTTGCTTTCTGTTTTTCATTTTTAAGATCAGTTAAGCAATTTGTAATATATTAATAGATGTTAGTGTTTCTGAGTCTGAAGAGAAAGAACAGGAATGGGTGTGTATGTTATAAAAATGAACCAATTGCAATCACACAATCACAGAACTTCAGTGTCAAAAGGGATTTTAAAATTAATTTTGTCCAACTCCACTTTAAATGCTTGAACTACTGTGTGGTGTGTGGGCAGTTTTTCCAGCTCCTTACAAAGTTCTTAGCTCCCTGTCCTCTGAAAGTATGCTTTACTGTTACTGAGAAAACATGTCTGTCCACTGCTGAGTTTGCCACATATGGAATAATTTGAGAGGCAGCTGGAATACTTCTCTAGTCTTTTTTTTTCTTTCTTTCTTTCTTTAGTGCTCAATGGGTCCTGAAAACCTTCTTTTTACAAACTCAAATCTCACATGGAAGAATCACCTGTCAACATTTCCTAGTTATTAACATCTAACATAAGGAAAGCAGATGGCTTCACGGGAAAAAAAGAAAATGTAAAGGTACTTGTATCAAATTGTAGTTTTCAAAACATTTTTACTTATTTCTTCATACTTGATCCTCATAATAACCTGAGTAAATATCTTGATTTCTATTTCATAAGGGAGGGAGAAAAAACTCATATAGGTTAAACCATTCCTCAGGGCATTTAAATTTTAGTTCTGCCAGCAACCTTGGGCAAGTGACTATGCCACTCTAGGACTCAGTTTCCCCATCAATAAAACAAGGTGAGATGCTTTGCAAAGATCTTTCCAGCTTTGTCTCTAATTCCATCACTCCTGCTTGCTGACATTGGGGCATGGGGAGGGGGTGGTTTTAATGGTGATAAGAAATCATTTTGGCACTAGAAGTACAGTACTTTTTGGAAAGGACAAGCTCTGGTGGAATGCCAAAGCAGACAGCATGAGAGCAGTGAACACTAGAAGGAAGAAAATACAAGAATCCTAGAAAAGAAGCCCAGAACTCCAAACGCACAACTACCTGGGTCTATAATACAATAGCTTCAGTTCAAATTTTGAACTAAAAATTACAGGTCATTTGCTTTAATGATTAAAGAGTCTCTTATGCAAACAGTGATGAAAGGTTGCTTTGGCAAACTATTTGATCATATTCAGAGAATAATTATCACAATAAATTATATTTTTAAAAGTCTATTTTACGCCCCCTGCTTACTTCATGTAGTAAAGGAGGGAGATAAGAAACCAAAGCCTATGGAGGTCATTTGGAAGGAACACAACAGGGGAAGGGATGCTTTCTAATAATTTATAGAAGTCCCCAGGCAGTATGCTCTTCTCCCCCATTCACTCATTTACTAGGAGAACGGGAGGAGCACTGAGATGCAGCCAACCTAAGGGCTATGTATTTGCTTAAGTTTATGAAGAAAAAAACAGGCCTTATACCTAATATAAAAGGAATTTAAGAAACCAGGTGAGAAGTGGTGATCTTTAAACTGGTTGCACAAGAAACAGAAAGCTAATCCCTAAAATGATAAGCCTACTTAATAGTCTGTTCTTTATAGAGTGATTAAACATACTTAACTATAGTAGAGACAGTTCATATCGTACATGTTTAATCACTTTTTTAGTAAGTGGCTCTAAGATAATAAATAACACTAACCTACTTCAGGGCCAGGGATTTAGTTCAGTGGTTTCACTGCCTGCTGCACAAGTGCAAGGACCCGAGATCGATCCCCGGTACCAAAAACAAAACAAAACAAAACAAAACTAACCTACTTCATTGAGTTCTTACAAGAATTAATTGAGTTTTAGGGGGATGGTTCAAGGTAGAGTCTCACTCTGTAGTTCAGCCTGGTCTTGAATTCACTGCGTAGCCCAGGCTGGCCACAAACTCGCAGCAATCCTCCTGCTTCAACCTCCTGAGTGCTGAGATTACAGGTATGTACCACCATACTCAGCTAATTCATTGATTTTAAACGGTTTCAGAAGTTTTCTAAAACAGTGGGCTAGGAATCTGGAAACTTTAGTCCAAGCCCTGCCTTTCTTAGCTGTGTGACCTGTGATGATTTGTTTAACTTCTCTGAGCTCAGTCTCTCCACCTATAAAGTGGAAGAGAATTGGATTAAACAATCTCTATACACTGAATAACATTCTAAAACTCTAGGACCATCATTGTACATATTTTTAATGGCTTAAAATTGCAACAATTTACTTTTTGTTTTTCTGAAAGCAGATTACAGGAAAATTTTTCCCAATGCCCAGCTGTTCCCAGACGCAGTTGCTTCCTCACACTGACCCCAACAAAGCTACTCAAATAGAAACATCACAGAGCTCGGACGGTGGTGCATGCATGTGATTCCAGCACTCTGGGAGGTTGAAGGATCACAAGTTTAAGCCCAGCCCGAGCAATTCATTGATTGAGGGAGACCCTGTCTCAAAATAAAACATTTAAGAAAGACTAGAGATGCAGCTCAGTGCAAAGGCCCTGAGTTCAATCCTCACGACCAGAAAAGAAGAGAAATACAGCATAATGTAGTGAGGATACAGAAAGAAGGAAAAACTAGACTCTAGGCTTCCCCATTTAGGAGCAAGTAACCAGAAGCCATTTCTTGGTAATCATGGCTCCTTTCCTCTTCCTATCATGTTGTCCATGCTTTTCTTTCCCAAGAATTGTATTGTTTCACCTCATCTCTAAAATGAATCAGGGGCCTTATTGGAAGCTCTAGAAACACTATGACCAGTTACAAGAGGATTTAAAAAGAG